GGTTACATATTCATATGTGAGGGGCACACACGGCGGCGACTGCGAGTGCGAGCGAGAAGGAGCGAGTTTACATAAGCCCCACCAAAAGCGAACGCAACTTTTTCCAACTCGCGTGTGGGAGGGGGAGGGGGGGGGGAGGGGAACTGTGGAATGGGAGTGGGGGGTTTGCTCAACTTTCTTTGCATACTCTTCCTGGCATGTATATGTGTGTGTGTGTGTGTGCGCTTCTGTGTCTGTGTGCATGCACCCCCGACGATCCGAGCCGATCCTTCGAGGGTATTTCCCATTCGGTTTTCGGGGGGTTCTTTTTCGTTGTCGTTTTGTAGTTGTTTTTGGCAATTAACCAAAAGTGGTGGTAACCGCCCCCCAACCCCCAACCCCCACCCCTTACCGCCCGTCCACCCGAATCCTGTCACACGCATGCTTTTTGGGAGCCCTTTTCCGGCCCCCCGCGCTGCGAAAATTTCACCCACTTGAAAATTTTTAAATATTTTTAACTGCTGCGCTCCACTCGCTCTGTTTGGTTAATATTTTTCTTGCTTGCTTGTGTGTGGGTGTGTGTGTGTGTGTTTGTTTGAACTGGGGGAAGTCTAGTGTTTGCACGTTGGAATGTAGTCCCCGCCACGGCCCCCTTTCCACCCGCATATGCGTAATATATTAACCAAAACAAAAAAAGGAAAGAGAGTGCAAAAAAACAAAGGCACCAAAAGTAGGTGGAGCAACAAATTTCAGCTCGCTTCTGACACATTATCTCGCATTACCCACACACATACCCACATGCAGGCTCATAAAAACACATAGAGATGGGGCAACTTTTTTGTGCGTCGCACAGAATTAATAATTGGGTGGCAACTAACCGAATGTTCGCTTACCAGGCTATGCCCCAGGTCCTTTTTAAAGGGCATAAATTAGAGAATGTAAAGGGAAACTTATCTATTTCGTTGACCGATCTTCTGTTACTTAATAGATACCTAATAATTACGAGCAATTAACTAACCCCTTAACGCATATCCAAAACAAACTCATTTGACCGATTTTATTCTCTTATCTTTTCAGCATAAATCTGCTTCTGATCGCAGGTGAGTACTTTCCATTATAGAGTTCAGTAAGGCACAAGGATCACATCCTTTGGCCAAAGGGTGGGCCAGCACGCGATTGTCTTAAGCTCGAATGCGATAGGCAAAGCCCGAATGACAAACATGCATGTGAGGGATGGCTTGCAGACACACACTCACACACCCCTGTTGGGACACTCACACCAGCTCACAAGCTCCAGCTATTCCTATTGGCTAATTACTGCGAACCGAGCACACCGAGCACTCCCCCTCGAAAATAATCTACATATGTGTGTGCACGCGTGTGTCTGTGCGTTATTTAAAGCAAGTCGAGCTAAATATGCTGAAACTTTGAGGCCAAGGCGCAAGAGGAGCGCAAGATGCGAGGCACCACCCACCAGCGGTTGTGTGCGTGAGGCGAAAATCTAAATTATGTGCACCAAACACAACAAAAACCGCCAGAAACCACTGCCGCAAGTCTATCCTTGTACTCTTGTGTGACTGCACGCCGATGAACGAGAAATCCGTCTTCTTATATTTTAATGCAACTATAAGAAGAACAGCGACATGCATACACTGAAAATAAAGATCGGTTTTTGACAGTATTTCAGAGTAAGGTAAGTCAGCGAAAAGGTTTGGCCAAAAATGTATAACCCATTCCACTGAAGTGAAGGAAATAGTTTTTGACAAATTGATAGTTAACAAAACCAACTTATGTTCCTATTTACAATAATTTTAATGCGTTACATATGCATCTAGTAATTCAAGTAAATGTCCAATGGTATTTTTGTAAATTCAAACTTTTTTTCATATGTTTCTTTATGCTGAGTGCAGAAACAATGATTCGCGCGCGCAACATGCAGCTTAAATAATTTGTCGCATTTGCCGGCTGCCTAGTTGCTTCCTTCTTCTGCCGACGTCCTAACCCCAACCCCCCTCCCCTCCCCCTTTCTGCCTTTCTGCCGCACACCATTCCAATTTGAAAGGAACTACGCGAAACTACAACGAAGACGTCAACATTCACATCCTCATCCAGGCTCCTTCGCCCGTTCACTCACACACGCACAAGCACACGCACACACTGGCTCTCTTGCGCCGAAAAAGGAACCAAAAGACGGAGAGCAAGAAAAAAAAAGTAATACTTCGGGCGCACTTGTTGGCATCCCATTGCCGTCGTCGTTTCTTTTCGTCTAAGAGCGCTGACGAAGAAGAAGAGAATTTCGCCCAGCATAGCATACTTCTCGGGGTGCCAGGAAGCAAGGGCGGCGGAATCGGCTGGGGGTGTCCTGCGTCGAGGCGCTACTGGTGGGTACTTTACTTGATGATTATGGCGACGATAATGATGATTGGAATGGCTTTGATGGCGTTGAAAATGAAGATTGCGTGTAGTAGATTTGCTCCGACTTGGTCCTGCTCCCTCTTCCTTTTCCTCTGCCTCGACTGCCCGCTGCTTGTGTGCGTGCTCATGTTCATGTTGTGGCTGTGTGTGTGTGTGTGTGTGTGCATGAGAAGATATAGTAAAGAGGGGGCGAATTTCGGGTAATGCGTCCAACTACACACTATCAGCATTTGATTTTATTACGCTCATTTGTTTGCGCGTAGTTCGCAGTGTTTACCTTACTTTCTAAGACGTTTGCTGGATTTTGCTTGTGGGCGAGTATGGGTGAGTGTGTGTGTGGGCGGGCGTGCTTGTGTGTGCGGCCGAGCAACAGGATGACACGAATGATGGGTGGGTTGGTGGTAGAAGCGGCCAGTCTTCAAGTGCTCGCAACTTTGACCTCCTGCGGCAGCAACCGAGACGCTGACTTCACTGCCGTCGTCGTTTGCTTTTGTCGTCGTCGCCGTGTGCTTTTGTCGTCCTCGTGACAATGAAGGCCACGCCGTCGACTTTTGCCGGCTCCGGCTGACTTTATTTTCCTCCGAATCACGCCAAACTCTGACTGAAGCCCACGGAAGGAAGGATGCTGGCCGGGTGCGGATGCTCTTCGGATTCGGCTCGGCCCCAGCCGAGACCGCCAGCGTCTTGGGCAGTTAGTAACCGTTAAGACCTCGTGGCTGTCTAGTCGCATGTCCTTGTCGGCCGTTTTGCTCACCGTTTATGTTTTCGTGTCTCGACATTCTGCTGGCTCGAAAGCAACAAGGTAAAGGAAACCCGCAGCAAAAGAATTGCTAGATCGCCGATCCGAAAGGACACTGGCCGCGCTCTCTCCTCTATCCCACTCTCTCTCTCTCTCTCTCTCTCGTTTTGTCTCTTCTTAATCTGCAAATGTTGCATACTTTTTTGGGGTAGCATAATGGGGCTAGAGCGAGCGAGCGAACGAGCATAGTTAGCCAAAAGTCAGAGCGGGATGGAGCAAAAAGACAACAAATTAAAATTTAAAAACGGCTCTCCTCATACACGCACGCTCTCCAGCTCCCACACACACACACACGCACGCCATCCTTTTTATTTGCTTGGTTATTTTTGTGCGTCGATTTCCCCTTTCGAGGCAGCGACGAAGCGACGTCGGTGGGCGGGAGAGGTGGGCGGGAGAGGTGGGCGGCAGCGGGAGCTCGGCTCGTAGTTCTACTTTATTGCACGTGTGTGTCGGTGTCGGTGTCTGTGTCTGTGTGAGAGTTCTTTTTATTTTCGTGCTTTACAAATTTTTGTATTTTTCATTTTTCGCTTTTCGTTTCGTCCTGTTTCGTTGGCTTTTTTTTCGCGCGCTCCGCTCTCGTGTCGTCGTGTAAACGCGTTTTTTAAAATTTCCCAACGCTGCCGGCATCGCACGGGGGTTGTTTGTATGTGTGCCGCAGTGTTCGTGTGCGAGGGGTGGGGTGGGGTGGGGAGGGGTTGTGTTGGGTGGGCGCAGCAGAGGCCGCAGCATGCAGTGGGGTTGGTTACGGATGGATTTTTTCCACCGCCACAAACACAGGCACTCATACGTGAGCGCTGACTCTTTTTTCTGCTGCTGCTGCTGCTGCCGCCGCCGCCGCCGCCGCCGATGCTTCTTCTTATCCACCTCTTCCCGTTTTCCTTTTTCGCCTGATGTTTATGTTGTTGTTTCTTTTCGCTTTTTGTTTCAGCTGCTGCTGCGCTGCCGCTTTTGGTTTTAGCATTTTTCGTTCGTTTTTCGCATTTTTGTTTTGTTTCTGATTTTCCTTTTGCCTGTCGCTGCCTCTGTCGGCTTCTCTGCCGCTGCCAGCTTCGCAGCCGCATCCTTTTTTTTAACGCCACACGCAGAAAAAAAAAGCAAACTTCGCCCTGTCCGTGTGCGTATCTCTCGCTCTGTATGTGTCTGTGTGTGTATTGGTGTGCGAATAGTTGTGGCCGCACGCGGGGTGGGCGGGCGAAAGCCAGCGAAATGAGTAATGAGTGTTTAGTACGTTGTTTGGCGGGTGATTTTTATGGCAGCGCTGCTGCAGAGGAGTTCAACTGACGGCGAGAAGGAAGGGTGGAAGGAGAGAGGAGGGGTAGGGACGGTGGACGGCGGACGGCGGACGGCGGACAGTGGACACTAGACGCTGGTCCTGTGCAGTAGCCAGTCGGCAGCGAACGAGCAAGTGCAGGCAGCGCGGACGGTCTGCGAAACGTAGCACAACATTTGGCGCTACCTAATTGAAATCGCCTCGCCAATTGCTAATCTGTGTGCTTGTGCTTGTGCTTGTGCTGGTGCTTGTGCTCCTGTTCCTGTGTGTAATGACTTCGATTGTGTGCTAAGCTTTCTATTCCTCGGCAGCATCAACTTGAGCACCAAAACAAAGCTCCGTCGGCGTCGCTGCCGCTGCCGATGCCGCGTGCTTCGCGTCCTGCAGCGACCTCGGGCCTCCTTCGGCTGTCGGCTTGCTTCGCTTCGGTCGGTCCTGCGATTTGGTCCTGCTGCCGCCGCCGCCTCTGTCGCGGCCCGCGTCGCTGCCGGCGGCCCTGGGCTGTTGCGATTGCGACTTGGACTTCAATCGAGTTGGGTTTTTAAAAATAACGTTAGTTGCTGTTTGTTGCTCGTTACGTGCGCGTGCTGCGACGCGGACCAAAAAAAATTAACCACCAGCCACCAATGAAAACGGGAATCTGAAACAACTAACAAACCCAACTGAAGTTCCAACTCAACTCCAATTGGAACTCGAAGACACAAAACACAAAAAGAACCTGCGTAAATTGTTTTGCCTGTAGTTTGTTTTTGTTCAAGTGCTACTTAATCCGGCAAGGACAGCATCCCGGGATTTAAGGAATTTGTCACCTTTACCGCCCCGATTGTTGATTGTTTTAATTTTTTTTCGGTGAACCGCAGAGGCGAAACCCCCAGTGCCGATGACAAGTTGTGCAATAAATCGAATCTAATCAAAGTGAAAGCCAGTCCAGAAGTACATACGAACAATCCAAGTGATAACGCACGCAGCCGATCCTAGAACACGTTAAAACCAATCTGAACCAACTGAATTTGCACCCGAATAGAATAGCGAGCAACCGCAACATAAACTCTGACAAACTGCCCAAGTGAAAGTGAGAGTGAGCAGCGGCCGGAGTTCTAGCCGGAACCGGATTCCCATTGCCAAACGGATCCGCAATTCGCTGCAGATGATGCTTGTGGCGCAGTCGCAGGATCACTTGAAAGAAATACATGTAAGTGCGGTATAAGATTATATTTGACTAAGCGGGAAGTTTTTAGATACATTTCGCTGATCTTGAGGTTAAGGGCGGACTAAGACTTTTTCAAAACCCCTTACAGCACACGGTCTTTTTAACCATATAAACTAAACAAATTTTAGATCGGACGTATATCATATACATATTATATTCCTCCTTATCCATTATTTTAATTGTTCGCATTTCTGCTGCTCTGTGAGCGCACATTCCTTGCTCTCGCGATCGTCGAATCGCATTCCGTATTCCGAAATATCAGCGAGTCGGGGCGTTGAACCCGATCAAAGCTTTTTTCTTGTAAGAAAAAAACACTCATCGAGGGCTGGCGGGCCGATCTCTAACGCGATGCCGCTAGCGCTTCCGTCATCGACCTCCTCGCATATTACGTATACGCTCGTTGGCATTGCCTTGAGCAGCGGACAATGCCCAACGCATGCGACGATGATAGGCCTTCGGCGAGCGAAAAAGCGAGAGAGCGACAGAGGGAGTGGGCGGGCAAGAGCGAGAGAGGGGATGAATGCGTGATCGAGACTGCAAAGGCGCGACAGTGTGCGTGAATTTACCCACTGCAGTTCCAATTAGAACAAACGGCGGGCGACAAGTTCAATGTGATCATTTCGCCTTCGCTGCCGCTGTCGCTGCCTGCGTCGCCGTCGACGTCTACGCCGTGAGGTTGTTGTCGAGGTCTCCAGCACCTAGAGGTTAATACCGGTTGTAATGGCAAAGCACCCAACAAAGGAGTGCAGCTTAGATCGACGATATTGTACCGTACCGTACTGTACTGTATACTGTACAGTGGCCACTGCCTCACTAAGCTCACCTTTTTTTCGGATGATCTGTGTGACTCGGTGACATTTGCAATGATCTTGAAACAGTCATAAACCGAACGAGACGCAGCAGTAAAGGCATTATAGATACGTATATACGTGTAGATACATTCAGAGTGTTTATTCGTTTATGAATCGGCAAGAGGTCACTGCAGACAGGGCAGCGGACAGCGGGACACGCGGGGGAAAAACCTTAACAAAACAATATTAAAAACAATTCTTAAAAAATGCTAGCACAAGTGCGATACCAGCAAAATTAAAAAACCAAAATCGCCACGCATGAATATCAAAAAAAAAAAAAAAATGCCCACAAAAAATCAGTGACAACAACAAAAGTCAGTAAAATAAAAACGCAGCAAAAACAATGAACAGAAACCCCAAACCCCAAAAAAAAAAAAGAAAAAAAAGACTCGGGCAAACAAGATGCAAGTGGCAACAAGTTTCAGTTGCTTGGACTCCCAGTTCCGCAGTCTCTTCAGGGCCAGCAATCTTTGCTCCACAGTCTTGAGTCTTAAGTGCTCAGTCTTCGGTCTTCGGTCTTCAGTCTTCAGTGCTTAGTGCGTGTCAGGAAGGAGGGGCAGTGCCATAGGGGTGGAGAGCGGGTTGGGTATCTGGGTTATGGCAAACATGGGAGCCATGTAATAAAATGCGGTAATGGTAACCAAAATATTAAACAAGTCTTCGTCAATATCAGCAGAAATTGCAGTTTAAGTGCAGTTGGAGGGAGTGAGAGGAGCAGAGGCGGATGGGCCTGAAAACAAATGCGAAAACAGGCCAGATTCCCAAGAGTTTCTGACTTTGGATTTGGGTTTGGACTGGGGCTGGGGCTGGGGCTTTTAAAATGGGGCTACACTTTCAATTGGAACGCCTCGCAAGGGGAAGGGGGAAAGGGGGCCAGGGCGGAGCGGGAGATGGCGATCCGAAGACGCTCGACGCACGAAGACGTCCGCTGATAAACGCTCCGATCGCAACATTGTGTGCGTATACCGCTATATCATATCTTTGGGCTTACCCACTTACATAGGGCGAGGGCACACACAAATACACACAAATGCACAGCGAAAGTTGCATGTTCCCTCTATTTACAAACTGCCGTTGCTGATCTGCAATGGGAACGGGGCGATTCGTGGGCAGAGCAAACATTTCCGTCCATGTGTGGGTGGCGTTCGTTGATTCGCTCGGCGACACAACGACACTTTTCAACTTAAAAAATTTCCTCAACCCCCCCTTGGTAATGAATAAACAAAACTTCTAAATGGGCAATACCAGAAAATACGAAAATACACAAAAAAAACCCACACACAGAACAACCACAAAACCCCGAAAAAACGCAATTTTCGCTCAGCTCCGCTGCCGTCGCACGCGCAGAAATTGCTCGTTTTTGGCGACTGCGCTGCCGCTGCTGTAAACTGCAGCGATCGGATCGCACTGCTGCCGCCGTCGACGTCGCTGCACTCAAAAAAAAAAAAAAAACAAGCAAAAGAAGCACACAATCGCACGAGAAGTATATAACAAAAAAGCGAGCAAAAAAGGCAAAAAGTAAAAAGCGAAGAGTAAAAAAACCGAATGAAACATACAGGCGGCATAAGTATACACACACACAGCGGCGCAGGGAATTCTCTGATTCAATTGGGCAGGCACACACACACACACACACACACACGCACACTGGCAGAGGGCAGCGGCACAAGCCCAACACATTTAACTGCATTTTTTCGGAACTCAGTTGAGCTTTTTAATTCGATCGGTTCAGTTACTAAAGTTAGTTCAGCCCAAACGCACAATTTCAATTTCCATTTCTAAATTTGAACTCGAATTGAATGGAATTAGTGCGACGACACCTAAGAAACATTAAGACTACCCTAAGCCCACAAGCACTCCACCTTCACGCAAGGATTGGACAGTCTATTCTATTTTTTTGAGTTTTTTACCAAGTGCCCATTTGTATGCAAAAAAGACCCTACGGCACCAAGTGCTAAATAAACCATAAAGCATCCCGAGAACGGGAATACAGTGCGCGATTCGCGCGCGCATCTTCTCCACAAATTGAGACAAAAAGAATCAGGATCGGAGAAAGCGGAAGAAAGCCTCAAGCTATAAGTGAATAAACAGTGTGTATTCGAAGAGCAGTCAACCCATGACGTCCCCATGACGCACCGCCATGAACGAGGATGCGCTTGCTGACCGAGGTCAAAACCACAAAGGTAACCACCAGGTAAGGTTGGCTGGCCCACTCACATCCTGCCGGAGGATCTCGGCCCTTTCGAATCGCTACGCGAATGTGCTGGAAGCTCCTTGATCTTTTCGAGGACAAAGTTGTTTTCGTGCGAGTGCGGTGGTGTGTGTGTGGTGGGGAAATTCATCGACCACATTCGCAGCGATGCAGGTACAGATACATACTGAAATTTGATTCGAATATGGTCCAATTCATGAGAAGGACATTTGACTCATGCGAGGGGCAGTTGCCAATGCAGCTGGCCCTGCTACTCTTTGTCCTCTCTGCCTTTTGATTTGGGCCTTTTGGGCCTTGGGTTACCCTCATTAGCACTTTGATGTAGAGTCAAAAAAGCAGACGAACCAGGCCCAGACCCCACCACTCCCCTCCTTCTCACTCCAGATCACAAATTTTCGGGTGCATCTGCATACAAAGACACGGGCATACACATAGATTCAGAAACACTGTGTACGCACACAGATACAGATGCGGATACAGATACAGATACAGATACACAGATGCACTGCAGGAAGCAGGGCAGCACACCACAGCAGCGTCGCCTTATTTTCCCCCATCGTTTCTACCCCCCGGACTCTCCACTCTCCACTCTCCACTCCACTGCATTGTTCGACTTCTCCGCCGCTCCGGCATTCTCCGCTTCTTCGGCTGCAGTCGTCAGACGCTTCGCGAAGCTCACGGCCAAGGCAAAATGCAAAGGCAACAGCGGCAAAGGCAGCAAAGGGAGCAAAGGCAGCAAAGGCAGCTGAGGATCTGTACTCGGCCGCTCACGAAGGCCAAGCTAGCAGGGCTCGGGAATGATCGAAAGCCAGCCCGAAACTGCAGTTGGCTGTTCAGCGTCGCAGCGAGCAAACGTCGTGTGGCAGCTCATCGCAAGTTGCCGCCATCCGTACATCGTTCTTCCTTCATTCATCGCAAATTGAAAATTGCAAATTACAAGTTGGGAAGCGCGCAACACGCTCGCGCAAAGTGCACAAGTCGCGCTATATTCGCTATATTCGCATGTTCAGATATATATTCGCGTCTGCCAACGGTTTACTGCTTGCATTCTACACCACACCACACCACACCCATTTTGTTTTCGTTTCTTATTTTTTTTTCTGTTGTTATTACTCGTTATATCCTTGTTGACTGCCCTCCCGCCCATGCAACCCACTCAGGCTTAGTCAGGTTCGATCGGAATCGGTCTCAGGAACTCTCAGGATTAGCTCTATTGCAGGTAAGTCACGTGAGGGACCCGTTGCAACTTTCGATTTCTTTCGGGGCAATACGGAAAATGGGACAACAACAACAACGGGACACAAATGTCCAGACAGACACGCACTCAAGCTGTTTGGTCGGGCGGGGGGCCTCCCAGTCCTGCTTCTCCTACTAGTAGCGCCAGTCCTCTGCCGTAGCCGCAGCCTCTGCCTCAACCTCGTTTTTTTTTTCTTGTTTTTTTTGTTCTGTTAGTTGTTAGGGCGACCGAGACCCAGACCCAGACGAATCAGCCAAGCGACAACAAAACACAATCTCTATCCCCATCCTCAGCCACGCCACATACACAGCCATCCACAGCCATCCCCAAGCATTAACCATCTGCAAGCCACAAAGACCGGTACCCATACACTGACACGCACATGGACACGTGCACACCGACACAGCAAGGTGACGTAATGGCAACTACTCCACTAACACATTTTTCTGCATTCCTGCAACTGCGAGGGAGCAGCGAAGGCAGCATGGGAGCATGGGAGCTTCGGAGATGTGGGGGCGGGGTGGGAAAGTCGCGCGACGAGAGAAAAACTGAATGAAAATTGCAGGCAGCCAACGAAGCGTGCCTAGCAAAAAGGAAGAGTAAAAAAGCAAAAAAAAAAAAAAAAAAAAAAAAAAAAAAACAGCATAAAACGACAGAAACTAGAGACGTAGCCAGACTACGAAAATCAAGGAGAGGGGAGGGGAGGGGTGGAAAGGGGAGGAATGAGGAGAAGGTTTGACTCACACACGTGGGACGTGCTATGGAACTCGGGATACGAATGCGATTGTGGTGGATGCTAGGAAGAAACAGAAGCGGAGGAGACTCACCGAACTGGTGGCCCCGACTAGACGCTGTCTGCATGACGATGTTGGTATTAGCGTGTCTATCTGTGTGTGTGTGTTAGCCATCTCTGTGTGTGCGACTGGCCGACATTCAAGGTTGACGGCGCATAACTTGTTGTTCTTGTTGTGGTTGTTGTTGTTGGTGGTGCTGCTGCAATTGTTGCTGCGATGGCAAATGCAACGCAGAAAGAGGACGCACAGAAGCACTCACTTTGTACTTCAGGGGAACCTCATGAGTAACAGTAACAGTAAAAGCAAAAGAGTAACGGGGTTAGGCCGAGCATTTTCAGTTAATTAAAGTGACTGAAGTCTGAAGTCGGTGGTCGCTGCTGCAAAAGTTTGCCACGGATTTATGGCTCGGCAATTAGAATCAAAGAACATAAGAGCGGACATCCCAACAGAACTGAGCAGAACAGACAGACAGACAGACAGACAGACAGTAGCAGACCGACCGACCGACCAGTAGCACTTCCGTTAGCCTTGGAGCCCAATCAACTGGAATCAACAACGGCGGCCAATTGAGAGTTCGCACACAACTGGACACAAAGCACACACAGACGGGCAGAGCAGCTCCCTACGGTTCCAGTTCCCAATTCCCAGTTCCCAGTTCCCGTGACTCATATTCTAGCACAGAGCACTTGTTTGGCTGCAACACACAGCGGCAAATGTGTCCGCCATAAGGCAGATGCAATAACAAATGGGGATCACGATCATGACCATCATCATAATCATCATAATCACCACCACGATCGGCGCAACAATGATGATGATGATGATGATACCACTCAAGGCCACCGCAAGTTGCGAGGAGTCGCAAAACAAACACTGAAACAAAAGCGAAAGCGCAACAGAGATCGCAACCTATAAAAGAAAAAAAAAATGAGACAGACAAAGTGCATAGTTATCGCTAAAGACATGGGCGTGGTGGTGGGGGGCGCTGAGCGACGCGGGGCTCGGTTGATCCCAGCTTGTTCCCAAGTTCTTGGAAACGGTTACTTCAAGGCCAAAAGCCGGATAGACAAACAAATGGCACAAGGCACAAAGGCTAGAAGATAACTTTTTGCACTCCTCTTCGCTTTCCATTCCTCTCTCTCCCTTCTCTGTTCTTCTCCCGCTTAATTGTGCTCCATCCGCGATATTTCTATTTCTGCCAGGCATAAAACACAGGCAAGAGCGACATGGAGACGGAGACCCTGCAATTCTACGTTTCTTTTTCTTCTGCCTTCGGCCGGCACTCCCCATTCTTTTGGCTCCGCTTCTTCTTCCTGCTCTGCTGTCTCAGTCAGTCAGTTGGTCATGAGTGTCATGTGCATAATTGTGGGGTGAAGGAAAGAACGGGGGGACTAGGGCAGCCAGTGGAAAAGAGACGTCCCGGGAAAGGGGTGGCTTCCACTCGACAAACTTCTTCTTCGATGCACTGCACTACCAACCGATTGTCGTTGGTTATTTTTTCTTATTTCTTATTCTTTCCCCCTGCACTTTCGTTGACATTTTTCATTGTTTTCTGTGTTTTACTTTTTCAAGTGAAGAGGTTCTCAACTTTCACGCGGGGGGCGGGAGGTGGGGGCACAGACAGAGACGAGACATGGAGGGTCGTCTTATATAAAACCGTTGTAGCTTGGGCTTTTCTTGGGCTATGACACGAGTAACCCGAGACGGTCTGCTTAACGGTTAATGTGACAAACAGTGACAATGGCCATGACTGTGCCCCACCCCCTGCGTCACCACCCCCTGTCGATCGATCACCCCTTTCCCAGACTGCAAACTGCTCTCGTAGTGCAGAAAAAAATTGAATAAAAAGCACAAGAAGAGTAAAAAAGCGCTGCGAATAATTGGCATAAAAAGTAAATGTGTACAACTTGGTGAGCCAGATGCGCATTGAACTGAACCCCCACCAGTCACTTCCCCTTCAACGCTACTCGCACCCAACAATGCATTCACATTCAATATCCACAGCACAGTAAGAACGCCAAAAGATCAACGGCCAAAAAATTTGCCAGTTCCAAAAAACACACAAAACTTGGGGCACACACATATGTGTGCAATATAGCAGGCCTAAAAATAATGCCCCCTTCGCAACCCGTGCAAACCCCTTCTCCGACCGCTGGAAATGCGCACACGATGCCGATCCGATCGGATTCCAGCCGAAGTGAGCGAGTGAGAGAGCAAGTGGAGAACGGCAATGCGATTGGTAATGGCAACAGGAAAGAGAGGAGGGCGGGGAGCCCTAGCTGACTCTCTCGCGCACATTTTTTTTTATCTAATAACCTTGTGCAATGTTGTTAAACCCCAAAAGTTTTTTCACCTTGTCGGCGCAGCGTCGGCGACTGCGACGTCGACTGAGAGCAGCTTTTTTATTTTTTTTTATGAGAAATGCTAGTACTTTACTGCTGCACTCGTGTGCGTGTCACTGCGAATATATATGTGTGTCAATTGATCGCGACTGTGTACGTGTGCGCCACATTGCGCAAAATAGTCTATAAAATTAATGAGCTGGCCACGCACACGCCTATGTATGTAAATGCATCCTCATATCAATATATAAGATGGGAACGGGAATGAAAATGGAAACGGCAACGTAAACGAAAATGGAAGGCACGCAAGACAAAAAGCACACAAGCTAAATCCAATGTAATGCAAATTATATGTAAGGGAATGCAGAGGTGGAGCGGGGAAGAGGAAGACACAGCTGACTTTCGCTTTGCACTCACCCCATTCTCCCTGTCTCACTCGTTCTCCTTCCATTTTGATTTTGATAGGCTTTTGTGTTTACTTTGCTTTTTTCCCCCATTCCGCTGCTTCCTTTTTCATTATAATGTGCACTTTTTGAATTTTTCACCAATCGATTTGCTGCGCTGGCAACTTAGAAACCTCCTGTCTACCTATTCCTATTTAATAAAAGCGATATATCAAAACAGTTACGTAGTAGAAATTCTGCAAACTCAACTTCCACTTAAATCGTTCCCATACTTTTGTAAATGAAAGCAACCAGGAGGGGGCGATAGAGTGGGGGTCCGGTTATTGTTCTTGTTGTAACATGCAAATTTCAATTCAGTATATAGCAGAAATGGCGCAGTTATTAAACCGACAGCTCTCCTTTTCTCTCTTTTTGCAAAAGGTATTACTTACAGTGATCTCCGAATAGGCGGCTAACCAGATAGAGATGCAGCGAGTGCGAGAAAGATCGCACTAGAGGTTAATGCCCCCAAAATGGCGGGAGTGTGTGTAAACGACGCGGATGTCCCTCGCGAAAGAGAATTTCGCTGTTTGTTATTTTCGTAAGCTTTTTTGCAATTTGCAGTTCAACGTTCATTAGAGCGGCGTCGGGCCAATAACTGATTGTCCCCTTGGGGGCGTGGGGCGGTGCACAACTTATCGGGCGAAGCGAATTGCCTGCGATAATGGTAAACGAAACGCCGTCTGACTTTCGAGTTGCACGAATCCCGAACACGAAACGCACTTAGGGGGAGGAAGGTGGGAGATCGGTAGACGGGAGCCAAACTGTTGAACGCTCGACGCAGGTTAAAGCCCCCGATGACGACAGCCATGACTGGGGCGAAAAATTAACGCGCACACAAAAACCACACTCACTCACTTCCCCTTCCTTTTTTGGTCTTTTCTTACCAAAAGTGCACCAAAAAAAAAAAAAACACACATACATGTATACACTGGCTGTACCAACTCCAAATCGATAGAGTGATTTCGATTCCGATCCGCGCGACTCTTGGCGAACTAAACGAAGCTAAGTGACGCTGGGAAATGAACGCGTCGATCTAGCGCAAAACTATTCGCACTCGTCGTCTTTGCATTTAATTTGACTCAAAGAGCAGCAGTTCGAAACTTACATGGCTAGATTCCACTATCAAGCACGAGTGAGAGAAAGAGCGCCACCAAAAGCACTCAAATAGAAACTAGTGGAGAATAGAAATAGTTGAGAGTAATTCATACGGCAAACTCAATTGAAGGTGAGCGAATCCGATGGTGAGTGCATGGGTAAGGGGGAAGGGGGAAGGCGTGAGAGGCTGCATTGGTCTATCGCCTATGGTTTCTAAGCAGTGCCCTCGCTCCTCTCCCACTCGGCCCCACTCTCCCACTCACGCGCTCTCTCCTACTCACGTACTCTCCCACTCCCGCGTGCTTTTTTCTTGTTTATTTGCAGCTTTTCGACTTTGGCTGGCGAATTTGTGCAGGGTAAACGACCGAATGTCCGAACACGATGACTAGGTTAAGGTGAAGGTCAAATTAGCAAAAATGCAAAACAACTAAGCGAAAGAAAGAGACAGCGGCGAAGCTGACGGCGCAGTCGCAGCGCACTAACAATAGAAATCAACTTTGTCAGCGGGAATGGTAAAGACGGGAATAGAGGGGGCAGGAGGTAGCGGAGCCAAGCAAAAACAAAACAAAAAAAAAATAAACGAAAAGGCGGCGCAGGCAGCCAAAGCCCGTAAAAGAAGAATATACTGAAGCGTAGACAAAAGTGGTCAGGCTCTTTTTTTGTTGGGAATAGTAGGCATAGCTTCTCCAGACAGGAAAGGGAGAGGTAGGGGGGTGTGCGAAAACTCTTCTTCTTCGCTGTCTGGTGCGATCCTCTTCCCCTAAGCGAAGAGGAAGCGGCCTGAAAAGATGGGGGGAACGAAAAGGACAGATTGCCTCTGTTTAAGACTGTTTGTCCACACGCTCACGCTTCAACACCATCGCAAAATGGCAAGCTTTCTAATGTTCCTCTCTTTCTCTTTCGCAATCTCTTTCTATTATGCGCAACTAGCTAAGCAGCGACGCCAGCAGAAGCTGAGGCAGCGACTGAGGCAGAGGCGGTTGAAATGAACGCGAGACCTTGAACTTGGACTTAGTTTACGGGTTGAAGAATTGGGTTTTGTTTTGAATGGTTTTCTCTCTCCGTCGTGTGTGCTATCTTGCTGGTTTCAATGGGTGCTACTTGTTCTATTTGCATGTTTCTCCATTTTCTGTTCACTCCCACTCTCTTGCCCCCTTATTGGTTACAATTAGTCTAATCGGCCAATTGAGAAGCATTAATCAGGTGCCCTACAGGTTCCGCAGTCTAAGTGTGTAGAAATGCAATGCAAATGCCCTGTTATGCTGGACGCACACACACACACGTAGTAGAGTGGGGTAGTACCACGCGCTTTCAGCGTCTAGCATTTGTCTAGCTGCACGCAGGCTCAGCTACACACACACACACACAGAGATGACTGCATTTTTGCACTCGGTGTAATGCTCTCATGGAGAACCGCTGCCCACCTCCACCGCCTCCAGCTCATTCTCCCTCTCTCTCTGTACTAGTTTTTATACAAAACATTCGCTTTCACTACTCTCTACTCTCGCCACGTGTTCCTGTGTTTGTGTATGTGTGTGGCCGTTAGATTTTACATTTGGCCGGCATTCGGTGCTTGAAAAGGGGAGGAAAAGAGGAGAGAAGTATTTGCAATGTGTGCGATTTGCCATGTGGAAATGCTATGTGGGCGCCACAGCGTCTAGCCGGCAACAAGTGGAAAGTAGGGGGAAAAGTAGGGGAAAAAGGGCAGAAGGGCAGGAAAGTGGATGTGGACTGACCTTGTTTAATGTTTGGTAAGCTGTCGTAGACCAACTTGACACGCGTTAAAAAGAAAAGGCTGGAATGGGAATGTGGATGAGAATGTGTCTGTTTGTGTGTGCATAACTTAGTTGGCTAACCTTGAAAATAGAAACCGCACACACAAACACACTTTAAGACAACGATATTAACGAAGGCAATGGCAAAACGCAAAGCCAGAAGAAATCCGCAAAAGTTTTGGGCAAACACAATAGAAAGAGAAAGCAAGTGGAGAGTGCGGGGAGCGGCAAACAAGTTTGCGAGGGTGTGATATGGACGTATAGCAAACACAGCGATCAGAACACACACATCCGCACAACCATACGCTTTTATTTTCGCTAGCATTATACAATTTAGTTTCCAACTGAACAAACTACTTGGCGCTCTATCTAATCGCGTTCGTCGCTGCTCTTTTGGCTTTTTATAAGCTATAGCGCAGTCAGCCAAATAATTGCTTTTATTCAAACTCGCACCACATAACCACACCAACACCAATACAAATACCCTCATTGGGGAGAACCAAAAAAAAATAAGTAAAACGACTGCAACAAAATTCGACTTTTTTCTATAACTATTTTGAAGGCTGCCAGAGCGAGAGGTAGATATAGCGAGAAAGAGAGCTGACAAGCGAAATGCGCCAAACAAAATTTAATAATAATACAGCCACAAAGGCAAAAAAAATGTAGTATTTAGCCTTGAAAGTTCGTAAGCACTACGAGCACACACACTCGAGATCTCGACTGTACATACATATGTACATTCATGCAGCAAGAAATAAAAAACGAATCGAGAGAAAATACAGTAAAATGCCTGCTCTTTCTTAGAGCTTGCAAAAAGATTTGGTGATATGAATGTATGATCTGTTACAGGGTTTCCCCTTTCTCTTTATAGGAGACATTTTTTTTCGGGGCTTTCCGCTTCTCTGGGAGTGTGAACCGAGGGGAAAGGAAAAAGTTGGGACCTCTCCCCCTCTCTTCGGCCTTCATTATAAGTTATTACTCAGCCGGCGACTGCGACGCCTTTATTTTGTTCTATGCACAAAAATTCTGCTCTAGTATAAACGGTGGAGAGCTAAAGAGAGAGGCAGTGCGACAGAGATCGAGAACATTAAAAGTTCGGTGCTGGATTTTTTGTGCAAAAAATGCTTTTTCTGCTTCGAACTCAAGTTAGTGTGTATGTGTGTGCTGCGTCTGGGGGGAAGTCTACGTTCTAATACGAATCAAGTTAGCTCCCCTTCTCTTTCGCTCCGTCCTGCAGGCAACCCTTTTTGGCATTGGTATTGTTGTCCCTGTCCAATCCTTTCGATCGCCTTTTCGGAAACAACGGACAACAGAGCGTGCGCGCGCGATCGCCTCTTTATCGTGCCGTCTTGCTTGCTCTCGCATCCAGACGGCGCAGCTCACACACACAGAAGCAAAGTGCCGAATTTTTTGGGGAATAGTTTCGCTTGTGTGTGACGGTGTGTGCTGACTTTTTTTCTGCTTTTCGCCTGCCTAATGCGCTTTTTGTGTGCGGCCGACGTCGACTCTGGCAGAGGCAGCGACTGCGGCAGTGACTGAGACTGGCACGGCACTCTCTTCTTCTTTAGCACAAATTCAGTTGAATTTCTACGCTTGCAATCATCAAACGCAACAAACACAAATCCCACGGAAAGCGGAAAACGGACACGGACTATCCGCAGTATTCGATCCAACAAATAGCCAAAGACACGCAGACATTGGCACATCCGCCCGCGGATGATCCTGACCCCCGCAATCCCCCACCACCTCCCGCTCGGGATAACCGAGCTTGGCTCAGGCCATGAATTCGGCAAATAGTTTAGTTTAGTCATCGGTTCGGTTCGTTCGGTCGGTCGCTCCCCCAAATCGGTGGTTCTCGCTTCGCTTCAGATACAAAAGTTCATAAGTAATAGTTCGGTTCGGTTGTCCTCCAATTCCCAGTTTGTCATCTTCTAACTAACGGTCTATCCTCGCCTCGTATTTGTGTGTATGTGTGTAGTGTACCGTGTGAGAGTGCAATTACTATTTTTTGTCTATTTTGTTGTGTGCGCGGTACAGAGAGCGAAAATTGCGTATACGACAAATTGCGCATACGCCAGCAGATTTGTCGCATAAAAATTCGGAAATCCACTGAAATCAAAAATCAGAAATCAGAAGTCGAGAAATTTTGCAAGCCCAGCTAAAAACCCATTGAGCGAAAAGCTCAGACATGACCCACAAGCTCCCATAAGAACCGGGGGCTATTCAGGGCCGGGCATCGGATTCCAGTCAGAGCGCCAAGCAGGAGAAAGGTGAGTCTCCTCGCAATTGGAGAACCAGTGGGAATGGGAATGGGAATGGGAATTAGAATGGGAATATGACTGACTGGGAACAAGAGTAATGGTAATGGGATGACGATATAACAACGGGCACGTAGACAAAGACCTCTGCGAGGGGTGCTATTTTTGTGCGGACACATCACTCATACGTACGTATCAGCTTGAAGCAGCTTGGTATAAAAAAACACACAAAAAGTGCAGCGCACGCCCGGCAAAACTTATCTAATAGTTTTCACTTTCAATGCCGAGCGAAAGCTTTGCCACTGCCGCTGTCGCTGCCCCGCTTATCGCAGTTCGCAATTCGCAATTCGCAAGAGGGAGCGGGAGCGGGAGAGGGAGAGGGAGAGTTAGAGGCGCACCAAGAGAGAGATGAACTGCCCAAAAGTTTTCTGTATTCAAATGAATTTTTTTTTCGGTTGTTTTCTTAAATTTTTTTTTACATTCGTTTATTTTTTTGGTTTTTGGTTAAGATGTCCAGATGGGAACGTAGCGGCAGGCCAACTGTTCCCCCTTCCTGTTTCCCGATTCCGATTCCGATTCCGATCCCGATCCCGATCCCGTTTCCATCCCGCCGTACATACAAGTGTTCTTCGTATACTCACATTTGTTATAATTCCCATTTTTACTCCTCCCATTTGCGATGCGTTGGCTGTTTTCACTCCGTTTTTATATAGCATTTTTGCTTTGTTTTTTTTTTTTTTTCGGCGGTTCTGCACTCGTTATAAATTTTTTGCTTGTGCTGCTTCTTCGGTCGCTGCGAGTGCTAATTGTCGTCTTGATAGTTTATTTAATTTTGATTCGCCGTGTGACATAGAAATGGTTTTTGCTGCTGCGTCGTCGCCGTGGTTGACATTTTAAACTGCATTTGTTAACAATTTTTAAACATTTCGCATAGTTGCAAGCGAAACAGCAGCAGCAACAGAAGCAGAACAGAACAGGCAAAAAAACGCGAAAACAGAGCAAAAAACCGTAGCAAAGCAGAAACAAATGCACAACTTTCAGCTCGCACAGCACAAATCCGCGTATAAAAACAAAAGCAACTTCGAGGCGAACTCTGAACTGCAGTGAACTTAAAGGGGGAGGGGGAGGGGGAGGGGTCGGTCGGTCCACTTGTAATCCGATTTCAACTCAAATTCTAATTGTTTGCTCTTCTGCTTTCTTTTCGCTTGCAGTTAAATAATCATTAGGCAGCTAGCGAACAACACAATCGGTAAATCAGCGGCGAGATATCCAACGACAGCAAATACTACCGAAGGCAACCAAAGAAGAAGAAGAAGAATCATCGAGAGCCACTGCGCTTTCAACATCCTTTCTATCGGGGGGCAAGGGAAAAGCCGTCAAAATACGCAAGAAGGTGACCTCGAAGAAGGCCAGCGTTGTGTCAGTTGACGACGATCACAACAACAACAACAACAGCAGCCACAACAACGACCACAACGCTCGGCAGATCACACCCACAGTAACCCCAACACCAACACCAACACCAACGCCAACACCAATACAAACACCAACGCCCATATCAACGCCTGCAGCCACGCCCACGTCCGTCGTCGACCAGGAACAAGAACAGGAGCATAATCCCAGGAACAACCGCAATCCGAATCAGAATCAGAATCAGCCCATCGAAATGGACGACACACAGCACTTCTGCCTCCGCTGGAACAACTACCAGAGCAGCATCACGTCGGCATTCGAGAACCTGCGGGACGACGAGGCCTTCGTGGATGTAACGCTCGCCTGCGAAGGACGAAGCATCAAGGCACACCGCGTCGTCCTCTCCGCCTGCAGTCCCTACTTCCGCGAGCTGCTCAAGGTGAGTGCCCCCAATGTCTAAGCCATAATATCATATTATCATAACACCATTTGTTTTTTGGGGCGGGGAGAAGTATCAATACTGTTAATCATCCCAAGGGATATGAGTTTTGAACAGATTCATATAAATAAAATCAAATCAAGGAACCAAGTAGATACAAAATGTCCTTGATGAAGTGATTTTTTTTAAATGTTGAGAACTTTTATAGATTGAATACAACCCTGGGAGAAATGTTGGTCATGATTTCCCTTCTGAGCACTTTCGCAACTGTATTTGCAGTTACCGTTAACTACGCACACAGCTCTGTGTGTGTGTGTGCGTGACCCACTTAGCACCGATCGCAAATTTCTCGCTCTTTCTCTTTAGAGATGTGCCTCCTTATCTCGCAGTGCACACATGTGTGCAGCAGCCGGCGATGTCTCAGCTCCAGTTTCCTGCTTTGTACTCACTTCACCCTCGCCCCCAACTTGGAGGCTATGGTCTATATATATCCCTGCCCCATATGAAAATGCAACTGCAGCCTGAAAAGCCCTAGATTTGTGCTCATCTGTGGTGGAAGTGCCGGAGTTTCTTGGCAAGTCAGGTCCGCATCGGGATTGTGATCGCTTTTGACTGCCAAAAATGCGCCTCTAAGCTGCGAGGGAATTACTTTAAAGCCGCACAACCAGTCCCTTTCCGCCGCAGTCAAAGTTTGGAGGAAGTGGGTAAATAGTTGTTTGCTTTTAGCTAAAACTGCACGGCTAGGAAGGAGTAAGTTTAGCCGAGTGGTGAGCGAACGGGGGAGGGGGGGGCGGGGGGCTGACGTTTCGCTTGCATTTTAATTTATTTAGTTGCACACAATAGCAAATAACAGACGGAGTAAGAAAAAGGACGAGAAAATCGGCAAGAGTCGCGATAGACACAAACACGGCAATTGTCGGCAGATTGTGGGGAAAGGCGGATGGGGGAAAGGGGGGATGGAAAGGGGGAGGGGGACGGGGGACGGGGGACGGACAAAGGAAAGGCAAACGAAAGGGAAGAAAGGAAGGAAGACGTACAGCCGAAACACGTTATAATTTCTGGCTCACAGCGACGTTGGCCCTGTCATTCAGGCTATTTATTCACTTCTGGCGGAATTTGCGGTGCAAATGAATCGATTGCAGGCAGGGACATTCCGCTGGGACAACGCTACGTATGATTGATTTGTGTTCCCTGATCATGCAACGCATGCGGATCTGAGTTCGCATTTCTTTCCGCTGGAGTACTGAAGTAGGCCGAAATGAATCCGCCGCAGGAGCGTAAATGCCAGAAGCATGCACTTCCCCACTCCACATCCTTCCTTCCCCTTGCTGGTGTAGCTCCCGGCTAATCCTTGAAGTTGCGGCCCAAGTCGCAGTCGTAGTCGAAGTAACTTGCAACTAATGCAGACCGCCCTGCCCCGCCCCTTTCCGCCCCTTCGAAGCCCGCAGTTTGCTTCATTATTTTCATTATGACATTAAAATTATGTGAACCGCTGTTGTTGCCGACGTTTGCCCGCCAAAACTTTGCACTGCCTGCATTGAAAATATTTGCACGCAATTGCGGTTTTTGAGCGACAGGGACGGGGCATGCCAGTTAGAGAGGGAGAGGGCGAGGAAGAGGAAGAGGGGATGGCAGGGGGAAAAGGAAGAAAGAACGACGACAGCCTCGACGTTTGCCATTTGGAGCTGTCATTGGCGGTGGAAGGGGGGCGGGGGAAGGCGAAGAAGGCGGGGCAAGGAGGAGGTCCTGCAGCAGAAATTATATAAATTACAAAGTCCCCCCCCCCCCCACTCCTCCTTCTCCTCCTCCTCCTCATCCTCGTTACTGTTACTGTTACTGTCTCTTTCGACATGATTTGTTAACATGATAGAAAACTTGCTGCTTTCCGTTATTATTTTCCGTTTTTGTTCCAAATTATGCGCGAGGCCGACAAACAAAAAGCGAACACAGCGCGGCAAACTTGTCAGTTCTGTTTGGTTTTTGGAAATAACTGCAATTAGGAGAAAGCAAGGGAGAGAGAGGGAAGGGGGTGGGGGTTGGGGAGGGGAGCCAGGAGCCAAGGGCCAATCCAGCGCTGATTACGCAACGGCTATGGCAACGGAGGACAGGAACCGAAACAAGAACATGTCAAGAAGTCCCTGGCAAAGTTTGCTGCACCTTCCCCGCCCCCCTCCCCCCTTTCACTCCTCCTCCAGCGGAACAAGAAATTGCGCGAGCAGAAAAAGTCGGCATTTAATTTGTTAAAAAGGCCAACTAAATGCAGCGGGACAAAAAACAGCAACGCCAACAAAGGGAAAAGGCCGAGTGAATTTTTCTTGAGTTTGTTTTTTTTTTTTTTGTATTTTTTTGTTTTTTGTTTCCTTTTTTTTTTTGTGCATTCCCATTTGTTGTTGTTGTGCAAAATTATGTACCCAAGAAATTAGTATACAAAACTTTGCTGGCTGGCAGAGTGCAACACAAAAAGCGGCAAAGGCAACAGCAACAGCAACGGGGAATGGCACAAAACTTTGTAAATTCAATTTGAAATACATACAAGTGGGCAAGTGGACAAGCAGCAGCAGCAGCAGCAGGAGGTGCTGGACAAAGGAGACAGTGGACAGTAGTCTGTAGCAGTAGTAGAAGAAGAAGGAGAAGCAGACACTTGGCTCTTGCCCAGCAGGAGAAGGAGAACCCAGTTCCAGTACGTCCAGTACTTGGCGTCGCAATTGTGCGCGACTTTGCGCCTATGCATAAATATTTAATTAACTGCAGAGCATTATTTTAATTAGGTGTAAAACTGCCAAACAACAAAAGCCAGCGACAAGACCCAACCCCCTTTTGGGACTCTGAATCCCATTCGCATTCGCAAGCGAACTCGGACTTGGAATAGTCAGGCCACTTGGCCAGGGGCTAGAGGGCTGGCTTAATGGCCGCTGCTGCTGCTGCTGCTGAGCTGGAGGCATTTGCTAAAAGCATTTCTGGCTTCTGTGTAACGGTCAGGGCCACGCCCACAGCGCCTCATTTGGCTCATTTGGCTCATTTGCATGAAGTGCCAGCTGCAGCAGTCAAGGGGGAGATCTTCCGATCCTCCGATCACTTCGCCACTTCCCTTCAACCTCCGCCATTCGTCTTTCGTCAAATTGACCTCAATTTCGCAATCCCACAGATACACGGCACTCGCTCACTCACTCCAATGCACTGGCAATCTTTTAGCGCTAACTCAATCGCAAATATCCAGTGCTTGCTTGCCTGCATGTGTGTGTGTGTGCGAGAGCACATAAATTGCACAAGCCAGTAAATAAGACAAAACACACGGGATGCAGGGCCTGTTCGAGGGCAGGGAAACCGGGGAAAACGGGGGGAAAACGGGGAAAACAGCAACAAAAGACGAGGCGACGACTTGACCCAATTTCTAGCCAAGCAGAAACAGAAACAGCAACTGAAAATGAAAGAGCAGAGGAGCTGAGGAGCTGAGGAAACGAGGAGCAGTTCCCTTTGTTGGAGTTCCACTTGATAAGTGAAATTCACTGTACACACACGCAGCACAAACTGGAATGCACTGGTGGCCCTGAATGTGCCAAGTGGAATGGGGATTGCCAGAGGAATACAAACACACACACTACCATACACACTAGCATACACACACACACACACATGTGGCACATGGGTAAAAACTGCAGCTGGCTGGTGAATGCGAAAAGCGAAACCAGTGAAACCGGCGAATGCAAACTTCAAATCGCGCGTTGGCCTGTTGACTTTTTAGCGACAATTGAAGGTTGTCTGGGCCAGAGCCCCCTGATAATTGCGCTGGCAAACAGGCTTATCGAAGGGCGGAGGACGGAGGGAGGGAAGGGAGGGTTCATCTGACTCACTAACTGACCAACCGAATATAATCGTAACGAGCAACAAGCGAACTGCAACTCCGATTCCACTTGCATTCCCATTTTGCAGAGCACTCCCTGCAAACATCCGGTCATTCTGCTGCAGGATGTGAACTTCATGGACCTGCACTCGCTGGTGGAGTTCATCTACCACGGCGAGGTGAACGTGCACCAGAAGTCGCTGCAATCCTTCCTCAAGACCGCCGAGGTGCTGCGCGTCTCCGGACTCACCCAGCAGCAGGCCGAGGACACACATAGCGTAAGTAAACCCTTTCTGCAGGATAATGGACAGGATAACAACTATAGACTTCTGCCTTCTGCCTCGACAGCACTTGGCCCAAATACAGAACCTGGCCAACGCCGGCGGTCGCACGCCGCTCAACGCCCATGCCCACGCCCACGCCCACTTGCAACAGCATCCGCACCACGGTGCGCTGCACGACGACGGCGGCCCGTCGACCTTGTTCAGTCGCCAGGGAGCGGGCTCCCCGCCGCCGCCGGCGGGCTCCTCGCTGCCCCCGCACATCAACAACCAGCTGCTGAAGCGCATGGCCATGATGCACCGCAACAGCGCCGTGGTGGCTGCCGCCGAGGAGACCTCGCACGTCCTCAAGCGGCTCCGTGGCTCGGACAACGGCCTGCCGCTCTCCGGCGGCGGCGCCGGCAGTGGCAGCAACAACAACAGCCCCGACTTGCCGCCGCTCCATGCGCGCAGCGCCTCGCCCCAGCAGACGCCGGCCGACTTCAGTACGATCAAGCACCACAACAACAACAACACACCGCCGCTGAAGGAGGAGAAGCGTGAGTGTCGTCTATTCGGCGGTCTATTCTGTCTACTCGCACCTATGTTACATTACATATCAATCTCCCCTTTGGGGTTTACTCCACTCCACACTATTCCGAACAGGAAACGGACCCACTGGCAATGGAAACTCTGGCAATGGCAACGGCAACGGAGCGAGCAACGGCAACGGAATCTCCATCAGCGACAAGCTGAGCAGCCTCACACCCTCGCCGCTGGCACGGGCTGGAGCCGATGACGTCAAGTCGGAGCCCATGGAGCTGGTCTGCTCGAACAACAACGCCAATGCCAACGACGAGCATAGCAACGACTCCACCGGCGAGCACGACGCCAACCGCTCCAGCAGCGGAGACGGCGGCAAGGGTTCTTTAAGGTGGGTTCACTGTAGAGTAAAAGGTCCTTTTCAAAGGCATTGCTTTTGGAAAGATAGTGCGTAAAGTTCTCTTTGCAAACGCATTGCTTTTTAAGTAGTTTCGCAACACTGCAATTACCAAATCTAACCCCTATTCCAAGGCATTGTTTTTGCAAAGATTGTGTGTAAAGTTCTCTTTGCAAACGCATTGCTTTTTAAGTAGTTTCGCAACACTGCAATTGCCAAATCTAACCCGTTTTCCAAGGCATTGCTTTTGCAAAGATAGTGCGTAAAGTTCTCTTTGCAAACGCATTGCTTTTTAAGTAGTTTCGCAACACTGCAATTGCCAAATCTAACCCCTCAAAAACCCTTTTCCAGCTCTGGCAACGACGAGGAGATCAGCAACGTACTCAACTCGCACCCCGACGCCCCGCAGTTCATCATGTCGCAGGCGGAGAACAAGATCTTCAACGCCACCCCCTTCAGCTTCGCCATGAGCAATCTCGATCCCTCAGCGTTGCTTGGTGCGTATGCGCAACGTGCGAAGAAGGGCTAACTGACTAACTAACTAACCAACGCTTTCTCCCTTTCTCGCTTTCTCTCTCCATCTCTTCCCCTCTCTCGCTTTCCCGCTCTCTCCCTCTCTCTTTCTGGCTGACGCCCCCGTTGGTTGTCGGTTGCCAAAACGATCACCGATCAACAGGTCTCAACACACAGTTGCAGCAGTCCGGTGACCTCGCCGTGTCCCCTCAAGGTGAGTCCGAGCATTTCTCTATCCGTACTCTATTGTTCCGCTCTATTTGCGCTCAAAAGCTCATTATTACATTTTTTACATCAAATGCAAATGCAAATGCAAGAACCAAAATAATAATATATACCAAAGAGTCTATGCAAGTCAGATACCAGAAATACCTAAAGAAATGAAAGGCTAAAAGCAAACGTAAACCTAAATCTCAAGAATACGAATCCAAATCTAAAGCTTGAAATTGAAATTGAAATTGAAATTGAAACCAAAGCGAGAATCTAAGTCCAAATTACTACCTAAACTGCTGAGAGATCATTTTATCTGCCCGTAAATTATTTGATTAAATCGTTTCGATCTAGTTTAATGTTCAATTTATTTGTTTTTGGTTGTAATCTATAATCTATTTTTGGTTATCATTACCATTACCGTTTTCGTTCGTTGTTCTTTGATTTCTTTCGATTTTTGCGTTTTGACTGACTTGAGGACACACACATACATACATGTCGCATATGTATGCGTGTCGATCAGGAGCAGGACTTTTGATTTAACTTTCGATTTATTTCCCGTTTGACTCAACTCGAATCCGCACCCGTATCCAAATACGAATTCGAACTTGATCCTTGGAAGCAAAGCAACGGCAGACCCAAACCGAACTGAACACAATGCGCTTTACTTCTCACCCAAAATCCCTCCCTCCAAAAAAAAAAAAAAAAAAAAAAAAATACATAGTAATGATAAAAAACAATCGGTTTTCAGTTCGTTGCGATTCCAAGTCGAGTTGCCGTCGTAGCGCATTAAGCGTATAAATTTCTTTCTTGTTTGATTGTTTCGATGGTAAATGTTTTCATTTGTTTCGGTCACACACTCACACCCTCACACACGCACATGCCAGAAAAGAAAGCCCCCCAAGTGCCCAGATACACCCTAGTATAGTACTTACGTGCACATGCAGCTAGTCGGGCTCCCTGTCATACTACATTCAAGTTCGACAAAAGCGCCACAGATACTGATGCTGATGCTGTCGTCAGGAGGAGCAATGCATAATGATTTCAGTAGCAGGGTAATTGCTAAACAAACGCCAGCCGCGAAACTTTGGCAAACAGTCAACGGCAAACAGCAAACAGCAAACAAAAAGCAGAGCGGATTAACCAACACACACATCCGCTCATTTTAAATTCCCAAATCATCGGCTTGTTTGATGAACTACGCGAAATTAATTAACTGCCAGCGCCCCCAGCTTCCTAGTTGGTCCTCCCAGCCGCAAAGTGTTTAGCAAAATTCTATCACAAGTTTCGCGCCACACGCTCACACACTCTCGTTATGCTGCGGTTAGGCCACAGCAATTTGAGTCCCGTCCTCGGGAATTAAATGGTGTTGCGACTTGGCAGCCACTACACTCCCGCTCGATCCATCTTTTGCATTTCCGAAATGTGAAGTGAAATTATAATCAGGCCAAAAACTACCTAACACGACACACATTGTGATCTTTGTTTGCTAATCTTTGTTTCCTGTTTTGTTTGCGCAATTCGTTAAGACTTACTCTTCCGTTTGTTTTGCATTCTTTCCGTTTCGTTTCGCTTTGTTCCATTTTGTGTGCTAATTTTTTGTATTCGTAATAAAAGAAACTCAAGTAAAACCAATCAAACACAAACAAATGTATTACAAACAACAGCAAACACGCACCCCCACACACACACCAAAGACACGCCAACCACCAACACACTCTCCCACTACCAACACATGCATAGAATTTTTAAAAGCGTTCCAAACCCCACAAACACCCCACGATCCCAACATTCTCTGCCCTCCCGGCTCCGTTATTCTCCTCTTTTAAACTAATATCAGTTCGATGTCAATCTATTATTTTAGTAGACTAGATTTCCAGTAATCCCACTCCGTTGCGTTTTCGTTTATTGTATTTCCAACCAACATTTTTGTTTGAGTTCCAACCCTACGTTCCGTTCGGTTAGTCCCAGTTTCAAGAAAAACAGCAGATTAACACTAGACATGACACGGGAAAATAAGACCCGCAGAGAAGCGAACACCGAGTACATTTTGCAATCGAAATTTTATTGGTGTGAACTTTTAGTTTCCATATAAAACGCAACGCATTTGAAGATCGAATATATACATACCTACATAATATATATATATATATTGAATATTGAACTCTTTCCTTTATTTGTACGTCGTCGTGCTTGTGTCTAAAATTATGTAAACCCCACCCGAACCAAATATACCACCCATCGACCCGCTCCCATCAGCAAAGTCAAAAGAAAAGCTTTATTTACAACAATTGCATTCGAACGAATTTTCACATTAATTTTCAATGTGTCTTTTGTTAACAACTGTCGAAGCCCCTACAGCCTGTGATGGAGGAAAAAGCGGTTTTCATTTGATTTACCACCACCCTGTCCCCGGAAAAGTTACCTCCATTGCCCCTGGGTCGTCTCTTGTTCCCTTGAATTCGGCCACACCACCTTGCTTTAAGCACACACACACACACACACATATTCCTACCAGACCCCCAAAACCGAAACCCCCAATAGCCCAACGTTTTCCCCACGCAATTCCAATACACTTAAATCTTGGTTGCGAATACAGAAATCAGTGCACAACCAGGTACATGTAAATCCTTTAAATATCCTAGGCCTCCGATCTGACGCCCCCCCCAGTGTTTACCGGGGTCGGAAGATCAGTCAGAGCTCAGCACAGATTGGCATTTGTTCACACAGTACACGGCAAGGTACAGTACACACCAGGCGCGGTTAGTTTCATTCCGTTCCGACTAGTTCCGTTTCGTTGAGCGACTCTCGGCAAATCTATACTACAACGCAATGTGTTCCCACTCTACAAACGCACGTTCCAAACTTGATAACCTACATGGCCACACTGCGGCCCAACCGATCTCACTTGATCACCTGGCCACACTAACACATACGCACACACACACGCATAGACCCGCCACAGGACGCACACACACAAGAATTAACGAGAGCCTCGTGAATTCGAAATTGAGAAGGAAAGGCGAAACTTTTGCCATTCAATGAGGTTAAAAGCACACACACTCACTCACTCACATACATCCCCGCCCACACACACACACTCAAGCACAAACACACACACACACACATACATGAACTCTATTATGCGCTCCAACAGCTAACAAAAGATCATCAGAGTGAACTAATACCGAAGTTGATCGACTAACGCTAATCTTTATTTACTTTCCAATTGTACTAACCGACCAAAATTTAAAATTCCCCCCCAATAATCGTGAGAACTATACACATATATATATTTTTCTACCTACCCACACTCGTATATATATGAAACAAAGTATATATATAAATATTGTTAAGAATTGATCGATCTAACCCCCTGTATACGTATATAAATCCGCTTTACTAAACCCCCAATGGATTCAAAGATACAACCACTGCCGCTACAGGCGACCCCCAAGCAGACAACTCGATACATGATACAATCACACCCACCCCCAACCCCACTTCCTGCCCCCGCCTCCCCTTCCCCAAGAACCCATCCCCAACACCCCCCCCAGCACTAAAGAACACAAACTGAAAGTAACTCAACCAACATTTCAAGGCTTCAAGTATATACAACTTAATTGAGAAACCGCTTAAATTACGCCTATATACATTCATATTTGTTGCTCCTTTGATTGAACCAAAGAACACACAGACACACACACAAACACAGCCAGAAGAGAAGAAATCAGAGTAATCAGAGTATTAGCTTACGCCTAGCATACCTAGAATAAATTAAAATTACTTTAACTCCCGTGCGAAGCATTCAAAATTCACTAATTTTAAGTTCCGCAATTGGTGACCCCAGCAAAAGCCGGAAATCGAAAAATGTATCAACCACCAATCTATTTAAGTTACCACCTAAGCACACAAACAAATTGAAAGCAACGGAAAACTCGAAGGATCATCGGTTGGCTGGCTGTTGGATGGAATGGAGGAGTTGGGTTTTAAAAGATAAAATATTCATATGTAGTAAAAAAAAATAGTACAAAATGGAAGTAATATTGGTACAAAGATGTTAAAAAAGTACAAGTACATCCACTAACCCTCCACTCCCACCACAGTAACAGGAATAGAGAAAAGAACCGAGAGCAAAAATTGTAATCTAAGCACAATGTAAATTTTACCAACTTCTGCTAACATTGATTTACCAAAAAGATGTCGAAATTGAATTCGAAATGAAAAAAAAAAAGTACCATTAAGATACCGGAGAGAGATGATGATGTTTAAGACGAAGGTGATGATTTGGCAAGGGTTTAATTCTAGTGCTTTTTAAGTGACACACCCACACATAACCCCGAACCCCCTTAATATCTACACACACACACACACCACAAACACAAACACAGATACTAAGAAAAACACTAGGTACGGGAAGCCAGAAAACACGAACAATGAATGAACAGATACGCATACTATGAACTTTTTATGGTGATGGTGTTTTACACAAACACAAGTACACCCACACACAAACACACTACAACAACAACTTACACGAGCACCCAGACACACACACACACACAAACAGACCCAAACACACACTAGGCTCGTCTCTAGCCCCGCCCCCCGCCCCCCAACCTCCTACGCCTGAACTCAAATGCTCCTCCTACTCCCAATCCTACTTTGTAAATTACAACACACCACCACCGCACACTATGGTAATGAGTAAAACAACAACAAACCAAACCAAACAACCACAACAACAACAACAAACAACCAACCCGAAACCAACACCAAAACCAAAACCAAAACCAAACCAAAACTAGCCAAAAAACCAACAAGAACCTCAAACCAAACCTAATACCAAACAAAAGAACCCCAATTTTGCACACGTTGAGTATCGGTTAGTGTCCATCGATCGTGCGATCAGATCGACATCGATGTCCACGGGCGCTGCCGTCAAAAAAGAAAGAAAGAATATCGATTCGCACTGCAACTGTCACAGTTTGAGGCACAGTCACA